TCCGATTCTTCCATGGATGATCTCATGCTCAAAACTCGTGATTTCGTCTACTCTATTTCTTGCTTTTCACTCACATGGTAGAAGGAAGTGCTTCGATTCTTCCATGGGTGATCTCAAGCTCAAAACTTGTGATTTGGTCTACCCTATCTCTTGCCTTTCACTCACATAGTAGTAGGAAGTGCTCCGATTCTTCCATGGGTGATCTCAAGCTCAAAACTTGTGATTTGGTCTACTCTATCTCTTGCTTTTCACTCACATAGTACTAGGAAATGCTCCAATTCTTCCATGGATGATATCATGCTCAAAGATTGTGATTTGGTCTACTATATCTCTTGCTTTTCACTCACATAGTAGTAGGTAGTGCTCCGATTCTTCCATGCATGATCTCATGCTAAAAACTTGTGATTTGGTCTACTCTCTCTCTTGCTTTTCACTCACATAGTAGTAGGAAGTGCTCCGATTCTTCCATGGATGATATCATGCTCTGAAACTTGTGATTTGGTTCACTCTAACTCTTGCTTTTCACTCGCATAGTAGTAGGAATTGCTCCGATTCTTCCGTGGGTGATTTCAAGCTCAAATCTTGTGTTTTTTACTAGTCTAGCTTGTGCTCTCCCCTCTCATAGTAGATGGTGTTGCGATTCTTCCTTGGCTGCATTCATGAGCCATAAGCATGTGTTTGAGCAAGTCTCACTCACATGCATGGCTCAACTCTCACATGATGACATTCCTATTCTTCCTTGGTTGCATTCATGGGCCATAAGCATGTGTTTGAGCAAATCTCACTCACATGCATGGCTAAACTCTCACATGATGACATTCTGTTTCATGCTTGGTTGCATTCATGGGCCATAAGCATGTGTTTGAGCAAGTCTCACCCACATGCATGGCGCAACTCTCACATAATGACATTCCGTTTCAAGCTTGGTTGAATTCATGAGCCATAAGCATATGTTTGAGCAAGTCTCAGTCACATGCATGACTCAACCCTCACATGGTGACATACCGGTTCATACTTGGTTATTCTTTCCTCCATGTGTATGTGCTTTAACTAGTTCTAGCTTCACTTTGTCAAGTTCATGTGTATAGCAGTGTTCCAATTCACACTTGGTTGCTCTTTCCTCTATGCGCATGTGCTTTCAATAGTTCAACCTTCACTTTGTCAAGTTCATGTGAGTTGTAGTGTTCCGATTCGTACTTGGTTCATTCTTTCGTCCATGTGCATGTGCTTTCAATAGTTCAACCTTGACCTTGTCAAGTTCATGTGTGTTGTAGTGTTCCGGTTCATACTTGATTGATTCTTTCCTCCATTTGCATGTGCTTTCACTAGTTCTAGCTTCACTTTGTCAAGTTCATGTGAGTTGTAGTGTTCCGATTCATACTTGGTTGATTCTTTCCTCCATGTGCATGTGCTTTCAATAGTTCCACCTTGTCAAGTTCATGTGGGTTGTAGTGTTCCGGTTCATACTTGGTTGTTCTTTCCTCCATGTGTATGTGCTTTCACTAGTTCAACCTTCACCTTGTCAAGTTCATGTGAGTTGTAGTGTTTCGGTTCATACTTGGTTGATTCTTTTCTCCATATGCATGTGCTTTCACTAGTTCTAGCTTCACTTTGTCAAGTTCATGTGAGTTGTAGTGTTCCGGTTCATACTTGGTTGATTCTTTCATCCATGTGCATGTGCTTTCACTAATTTTAGCTTCACTTTGTCAAGTTCATGTGAGTTGTAGTGTTCCGATTCATACTTCATTGATTTTTTCCTCCATGTGCAGTTCAACCTTCACCTTGTCAAGTTCGTGTGAGTTGTAGTGTTCCGGTTCATACTTGTTCCTCCATGTGCATGTGCTTTCACTAGTTCTAGCTTCACGTTGTCAAGTTCATGCGAGTTGTAGTGTTCCGATTCATACTTGGCTGATTCTTTCCTCCATATGCATGTGCTTTCAATAGTTCAACCTTCACCATGTCAAGTTCATGTGAGTTGTAGTGTTCCGGTTCACACTTAGTTGCTCTTCTACTCATGTGAATGTGTTCCACTAGTGCAAATCTTCACTTTGTCAAGTTCATGCATGTGTTGATGTTCCG